CTGTGGTTTAACCTATTCTTCACTTTCGCTTGTGTGGTGCCTGCTGACGCCCAGCCATCCGGAGGAAAGTGGTGGAAATACAGATCTGCGTGTTTTATGCCTTAAGGGCGTTGACCAAAGTGTCAGGAGCAGAGTTGGTTATAACTAGTGGCCAGATTTGAGGTTTGGGGATCACCTTTGTGTGTTATTCATTCATTCTTCGCCTTCCAATAGAGTATGTGTCAAAGAAATAATAGTGAACAGGGAATATTCCACTTGAAATTCATCTTGGTCTTGTGTCGTCTAAACACCGAGTGCTGTCACAGGGGCCGACTTTAGTTTTTGGTGGCTCGCTTGAGCTGACAGCTTTTCTGGTTTCCATTCAAGCAGGATCACCCCTTATTTTGCACCGTTCCCCCGATGCTTCGTGCCTCTCTCTGGTGCTGTCCTAGCCTGTTTGGTCCTGGGGTGCCGTTCTGAAGACTAGGACTGTCGCATTTATCTCTCTGTGTCCAGCAGTGTCTGCTTTGCAGCCGGCCAGTCTCTGCCACTGCTTTGTGTGCACCCTTTGCTCACTGCCTTCTCTGCGTCTAGCACGCCTGGCTGCCTAGCCCACTGCGGCTGGATAAAAACACAAAACCGTGCTGACTGCTTGCTCACTCTTAGTTCAGACTCGCTAACCTTCTGTGGACCCCAAATGCTTCCAGCTGCTCATACGATTTTCCCCACTACGTTCATTTTTCTCACTCTCCCTGGTGTTGTATTTGCTCCTCCCCCCTCAAACTTCCAGCCCTTCCTTCCTCTTGTCTCATAGCTGAGGATCTTGCTTCCTATTTATGAGAAAATAGAAGCCATCAGAGGACAACTTCCATCAGCTGCCAGCACCAGGACTGCCACCTTCCTGCAGCCTTGGGGCAGGGCGGTCACTGTGCAGGTCAGTTACCAGGGCTGTCCTGTATGGCTGTGAGGCCAGCAGCGGGCAAGGGAGGCCCGGAACTCAGTGGGGATGCAAGCCTGGGTGTCCCCAGGAGGGGAACATGAGCCACACCCTGTGGATTCCACTCCCAAGGCCCATCTTTTTGCTCCTGCTCTAAGTCCCACCCTTCTCTTGATTCACCTGATTGTTTTCTCTCTGGGAGCATTCATATCAACAAAAGGAAAGCATGCTGTTATTTCTCCCATTGAAAGGAAACTAAACCTGTTCTGACCCCATTCCTTCCTCTAACCACTGCTCCGATCCCTTTCCCTGTAGCCAGAGTTTTGTCCTTGGAGCCTGCGGTTTCTCTCCTTTTATCATTCCCATCACACTCTGGTGTGAAACTGCTCTCAGCCTAGCAGTCTGCCGAGTTCCTTCTCCGCCCGCTTTCTGCCGCACAGTTGGCATCTTCCTGCCTTCAAAGCTGCACATATGGGACCCCCAGGACACCCTCATGACCCCACACACGCTTGATTTTCTCCCTCCCTCTCCATCTTCTTTGCAGACACTCCCTCGTCTCCTTGTTTTCTAAGCATTGACCCCCTATCGGTGATCGAATTGTCCCCCTCCCCAAATAAAGATATGTTGAAGCCCTAACCCCTTGGAACCTGTGAACATGATCTTATTTGGAAATTGGGTCTTTGCAGATGTCATCGAGTTTAGATGCGGTCGTTAGGTTGAGTCCCTGGTCCACTGACTGGTGTCTTGACAAGACAAGAAGAGACACAGAATCAGCGACAGAGAGGAGAATGCTGTGTGACCATGCAGCGGAGATGGGCGATGGGTCTACAAGCCAGGGAGTGCCAAGGAGCGCTGGCAGCACCAGAAGCTAAGAGTCCTGGGCCTTCTAAGGAAGCATGGTCCTGCTGACACCTTGATTTCTTTTTTTCTTTTCTTTTTTTTTTTTGAGACAGAGTCTCGCTTTGTTGCCCAGGCTAGAGTGAGTGCTGTGGTGTCAGCCTAGCTCACAGCAACCTCAAACTCCTGGGCTCAAGCAATCCTCCTGCCTCAGCCTCCCGAGTAGCTGGGACTACAGGCATGAGCCACCATGCCCGGCTAATTTTTTCTATATATATTAGTTGGCCAATTAATTTCTTTCTATTTATAGTAGAGACGGGGTCTCGCTCTTGCTCAGGCCGGTTTTGAACTCCTGACCTCGAGCAATCCGCCCGCCTCGGGCTCCCAGAGTGCTAGGATTACAGGCGTGAGCCACCGCGCCTGGCCTGACACCTTGATTTCTGACTTCTAGCCTCCCAGACCGCGAAAGAATAAATTTCTGCTGTTTCAAGCCACCCAGCTTGTGATAGTTTGTGATAGCAGCCCCAGGAAATGACTGAACTCCTTTGAGTTCTCTTTTTATAGACAGCCACTCTCTCATTGATCATATCCTCTCTCCTGGCTTTGGATTATCATCTATAGCCTGACAATTCCCTAATTAATTAGTTATTAACTAATTTTTTTTTCTTGAAACCTTTCTGTCCCAGTGCAAGGGTTTCTAATAGATACCTCATGCTTACCATGCCCAGAGCTGATCGCCCGCATCTTCCTCTGCAAACCTGCTCTTTCTATGTTTGTTTCTAGTGGTACCGCTGTCCTTCTGGGTGTGTAGGCCGGAACTCTCAGGCTCATTTTTGAGCCCCCATTTTCTCTAACATCCCAAATCTGACCTGTTAGCAAATCTTGTAGCCTCCGCTTCAGGGTGTACTGGGAGTCCCACCCCTTCTCACCACGTCCCCCGCGTACCGGCGCAGGCAGTGATCCCGCTCCTGGGTGACTTAAGTGACTTTGTCAGTGACCTCTCTGCTTCCACTCATTTGCTCCCCTAACGCTCAGCACAGTCAGGTGGGGTGACCTGGCCGTCACAGGATCCTGTCATGCCACTGCCTTTCTCAGAAGGGAGCTCCCCATTGCTCCTGAGTGAAAGCCCCCCCACCCCATGTGGCTGGCCTTCGAGGCCCTCCCCAGTGTGGACCCCACCGCCCTGCCCCCCTCCCCGGCCTCCGTGCTCTCGTCCTCCCGCCTCACTCTGCTTTCCTTGCTGTGCCCTGATCACGCCCTTCCCTTCGAGCCCCTGTGCTTGCCCTTCCCTGGAATCCCTTTATATAAATAAATATAAATGGCATAGTTACAGGAATTGTATCACAGCGCCCTCCCTCACTTCTTCCAGGTCTTTCCTTAAACATCCCCTTCTCAGTAGGGTCTGTCTGTCGGATGGGAAGTGGCTTGCCTCCAACACTTACCTCCCCTCTCCGCTTAATAATTATTTCTCCTTCACACTTACTGCTGCCTAACATTCTATATATTGTGCCTGTTATTGTTTTTCTCATTTTTCTGACCCCTGTGCTAGACTAGAGTATAAACCCTCCTTGGACAGGAATTTTGGCCCCTTTGTTCACTGCTCCATCCTCAGACATCTGGTGATATTTATTGAATGGAGGCCTGAATCAATAGGTTGCCAGTATATTTTAGTTGAACTTATTTTTTATAATAGCTTATGTTTATTTCACCATTTTTGTGTTTTTTAGTTATGATAGTTCTCAAACATGGAAAAGAATAGTGTCACAGATACCCTAAATCCCCATCACATATATTTGATAACTATTAACATTTTGCCTTATTTGCTTTATGTATTTTGGGGTTAAAATTACAGATGTCATGACAGAATTTATACGTTTCTAAAAATTGAGGATATTTTTCCATATCACCGGAGTACCCTTATCACACCTATTGAAACTGACAATAATTCCTTTTTGTTATCTATGCTGTCAATATTCAGATTTCCTAATTGTCCTTTCTAGCTAGTTTGTTCAAGTCAGAATCTAATAAAGAACCACTCGTCGCATTTCATCATGTGTTTTAAGTCCCTTCTAACCTGAACCAGGTCCCCTTGCCCACCGCCCACCCCCATCTCACGCCCATGACGTTGACTTGTTGAGGATTCCAGCCCTGTTGTCCTGTAACATGGATTTCTTTTCATTGCTTCCTTCTGAAGTCATTTAGCTTGTTCTCCTCCCCTCTGTGTTCTCTGTGGACTGGAAGTGAGTCTTAAAGGTTGATCAGTTCCATGTAGTTGAATTAAATTTCATCTTTGAAGCTGCTCCTCTGTAGCTACAGGGAACTTTGGGACATAGTCCTGATGTTAATGGAGGGACGGTTCTGTCTTTTGAAGGGCCTGGCTTTGCATGGGGATGGTCCGAGAGCGTAGATCTGTGTTTACTGAGTCCGACAGGTTTTAATACGTGGTGTGCAGACCTTTCCGGACAATGCCTCCCCCAAGCCTCGTTTCCGATGAGCCATCCTGGAAGAAGCCCTCTGGGACCTCTGGGGTCTGGGGTGGGGGAGCCTCCTCCAGGCTTGTGGTTTCGGGGGTAGAATAGAGAGCTCTGCATCTCTTCTGGGTTCTGCCTTCCTTCCCCTCCTTGTAACTGCATTTGGGGCAAATAGAGAACAGCTGTGGGGCACCCTATTATTTTCCCTGTGTGAAAATTTGTTTCTCCTCTGTTGGTGGCTAGTGTTCAGCGTGTCTTGTCTTTATAAGAGGAAGTGGAGACCCTCTAAAACCTGAAGCTGAGATGGAAGGTTCTAGTATCTTAGTGCTTGGTGTTCTGTGACTTCTTTCGCCTGGGGTTTTTGTTGGAATTTTTTTCCCAACCAAGAAAAAGAAATTCCTTGGGGGGCAAAAAGAAAAAAAAAAGAACTTTCTGTAAAATGCACAGAAGCCTAGTGAATTGCTTATGAGCTCTAGAGCGGGAGGGGAATCCTGAGAATTCAGTATGTAATTTAAGACAGAAAGTATAATAATGAACTGAACTTACTTCCTTGGATCTTGGTTTCTGAACAGTCTGGTTTTATGGAATAAGCATACTTAGTTTACTTATTATCATACCGTGTGATAGTTTAGATGTACGGGCTATGTTGACCTAGCTTTTATTGGTCATGACTTAGGAAGTACTCGTGTTACCAAAATGGCATTTTTAAGGAAAAGCTACCATCATCTAATGTAATGCCAAATTACAACCTTTTCATTTCTTTCTTTATGACACAGGAAATCTGGGAGCCCCTTATGCAGTGGCTTGGGAAACATGTGGGTCCTGAAGGAGAAATAAAATCCAGCAAGCTCTCTCTCAAATTTGTTTCATCCTGCACGTCTGAGATAGAAATAACCCCGTCCTCTATACCTGTGGTCACTGACACGGAGGCCTTCTCATCAGAAAATTTTAACTTAGAGATATACCGGCAAAATCTGCAGACCAAGCAATTTGGAAAAATAATTCTGTTTGCCGAAGTGACACCCACGACCATGAGTCTTCTGGATGGGTAAGTTCTGATCAGGCCCCCTCTGCACCTGCTTGGAGGAAGCCTGTTAGGGTAATTATTCTCTCTAATATCAAGGGAGGGGGATGGAGTTGTAGAACAATGCGTTTGAACAAACCGGTTGGCAAGGTAGACGTACTCTCCTGTCCTAAGAGAGTTAACATGTAGGAAGAGAAGTTAAAGTTCTTTAATCAAAGATTTGTGTTTTATGGAATGGCAGTTTTTTTGTGCCTTGTGTCTTCTTTCCTGGAATCAGGCCTTCAGAATGTTCTTGGAAAAAAAGAACATTATGAAAAAAAATGTTTAATGGGTGGCATTATTGCTCCGGTTATGGTTCTACTTTTGTGCTGTTACGTTCAGTGTTGGACATTTAGGATGTTTTGCAGGAGCATTAGAATAGCAAATTCGAATGACACGGAAGCTGTGTTAAATTGAAATAAGTTGGAGCTTTGAATTTTGAAAACTGTTTTGGTATGTTCCTATCCATTACCTCTTTTTAGGCACTCTCTGTAACCCCATTTGGATGTATGAAATTTACTTTTATGGCAGATTTTCCTTTTTATTCCTTCTGTTTTGTGGACATTGATTAAAGGTTAAAAAATGGAATAACATGTGAAAGGAATTTTTAAAAACTCCCCAATTAGCATTAATTGATGCTATTCTAGGTTAAAAAGCCAGGTTGTAGAGGGAGGGAATAAGATAAGCATCTTCCCTCAGCGTGGAACCAAAATTTAAGGAATGAAAAACTCCCAGAATAACTGGATTCACAGTTTCTAGGTGTTTCACCCATGGGACTTAGTGGTTAGACAGATGTATAATTCAGTGTAGGGAAATGTTTTGGCCTTTGTTCTTAATAATGATTTCTGGAATATGAATAGTATGTTGATATAGAATAATGAGATAACTGGCGTTTTCTCGACTGTCACACGCAGAGCCATCAGAGGGGCAGTGTCAGTATGTGCACAGTATGTGGCAGACGCCAGGAGACTTGCCAGAGCAAGGGGGTGGCCTGGGAAGGGGACAGTGAGCCACGTTCACACACAATTCTTGTTTACTGCATTAATTTTTGTTGTCATAGGTGCTTTTTCTTCCCACTGTTCCCTAACTCTCCTTCCTCTACTGCCCAACCCCCAACCACCCTTCCCCCAGGAGGGAAGGTAAAAGCCTGTTCTTGCGGATGGAACAGTCATGGCTTGCTTGTTACAAACCCTGTGACCACCTTGTTTCTCAAGTGGAGACTTGACTTTATAGAAGGGGAACGACCCACAGTTTCCACCGAGGTCCCACCTACCCACGGGCATCTTTCTTCCCCTCCGCAGAAAACTCTCACCCCTTCCTCGAGGAAGACAGCTCTGCTATCCCGTTCATTTCCTTCCTCACGATAAGATTCAGGCTCTCTGGGTGATGTGCAGTTTTCTGTCTCGGGGCTGGATGTGGCCCGTGGAGCTCTGGCAATCTGGCAGTTAGACAGAGGAGCTCTCTGCCCCCCACACGCCCTGTACTACTGCTGTCGTAGAAATCGGGACCACCGGTGCCCCTGCACCCCCGAATTGGCGATCTGTAAGTCTCCCGGTCATCCTCTGATAGTCCAGGCTGTGCCCTCCAGGAAGAACTGTCTTGCCCCGAGTCCTTTGGGGTCGTGGCTTTGCCCTGTGGGAGGGTCTTCCCTGTATCGAGTCCGAGGTGGACACTGGCGAGCATGGGCCTCTCACACTCGCTTCCTGGGAGGGTTGGAGTCTGGTTGTTTTGGGGACTGAACAGTCACGGCTTTTTATAGGGCAGCCTTATGGTTTCTGTGGAGGTATAAGTCTCTCGAAACTTTAGTAGGCCTCTAGCCTGTTTGCTTCTGATTGGTTCCATGTGAGTAACCATCAAAGATCTTGTCTAGACAGAGTTTTTCAGCCTAGAAACTCTGGTCTTTTAAAAGCCTCAATGCTCTGCCATCCCCTTCCCTCCCAATTTAATGGTGGCTCCCTTGGGCCAAATGAAACAGTGGGCGTGGGTGAAAGGCCAGGCCCTTAATCACATCTTTGGCACAAGGCTCCTGGGCTCTGTGTGGCCAAGCGTCTGTCTTATCTCCTGCTGAGCCACAGGGACAGCCCCACAGGCTCAACTTAGATCGCTGGTTGCAGCCAGAGAGCTCCTTTCTTATCAAATCTGTATTCTTTTCCACTTTTTGGAGACTGGTAGCTGCAGTTGGAGGTCATTTCTCTTTTATCAAACCTTGCTAAGAGTGTCAAGAACCAACAAACACTGACATTTTGAATATTCAGAACTATTTCCTATAAGGGTATAGTGTCCAACGGACACCTGGTCGATCTCCTAACATGCAGGAAGGCCAGGGCTTGATACAGGCTTTGCTGCATGACAGCAGTTATCAACGGAGAACCTGTGCCACCTATTTCCTTGCCAGTTGCCCCCCCCCCAGCTCCTCGGTATCCCTCCCTCTACAACCTGGCTTTTTAATCTGGAATAGCATCAATTAATGCTAATTGAGGAGTTTTTCAAAAATTCCTTTCACATGTTATTCCATTTTTTAACCTTTAATCAATGTCCACAAAACAGAAGGAATAAAAGAGAAAATCTGCCATAAAAGTAAATTTCAAACATCCAAATGGGGTTACAGAGAGTGCCTAAAAAAAGGTAATGGACAGGAACATACCAAAACAGTTTTCAAAATTCAAAGCTCCAACTTATTTCAACTTATTTATTCCTGCATCTTTAGATCTTTAGGCCTTGTTGCTGGTGGTGTGCACAAGGTCTAAGAAACCTAGCAGTCTGGTTCAGGTGCCAGTTTCTAGGTCAATTAGCATTAGGTTTGGCTGTGAGCAACAGAGGATGTTAACAGGATGGAAGGTTAAACAGGATGGAAGTTTATTTTTCTCTCCTGCAGATGAGATGGGCTGAGATGGGCAGCCCAGAGCTGGTGTGTTGGCCCACAATGTCGAGGACCCAGTGGGTTGCTCTGCTGTCCTCAGAAAACATCCCGGGGGCAACCCCAGTGTTTTTGTTCTTGTATGAGCCAAGTGAGCGGGAGGAGGGGTAAAGAAGGCTGCACCTCCATCCTGTGTGGGCTCTTCCCAGAAGTTGCACGTGACCTTTTTGTTTATATACCGTGGCCAGGACCTCGTTAGGTGACCTATCTACTTACAAAAAAGGCTGGGAAGTAAATGTGGTCTTTATACTGGACATCCATGGATCCAACTGGAAATCAGGCTTCTATCGCTAAGGTGGAGTGAAGGCTAGATATTGGGAGACAGTTAGCAACCTTTGTTTCATGCATGCACTTTCAGTTTTTCCGACTCCTAAGACAAATAGGCGGAGGCCTTTAAAGTAGTATCCACGCTGTCATAGCCCTGCTGCCTGCCAAATGTAAAATCACAGGTGAAGACAATTATTTGATTTGTAACACTCATTTTGTTTCACCTCGTACTCAAGGGCATTAGTGACATTTTTCTTAGGTTGTTATAAATCTGGGAGGCTTTAGAAATTTCTCTTCTGACAAGTATTTTGGAGGACATTATAATTTCTTCTTTGACAGCAAACCCAGCTACTCCACCTCGTGAGTTTGGAAGTTGCAGAGGGAATTGTGAGTGTCACTTGCTGGTAACTGAGTGTCTCCCTTAGGAAAGGGAAGGGTCAAAGCCAGGGGAGTGAGTGTTTCCTCCCATAGTCTGACGTGGGGATGCCACCCAACTGGTTTGGTTAGAAGAGTTAATTTCCTCCTTTATCCCCTGCTCTAGTCATTTCCTCTGATGTGTCTTCTTGACCACGGAATGCCTTTTCTACTCTATTGTCAGGGTAACACCTTTGGGAGGCGATGCTCTGTGTAGCTCTGGTTTTGTTCGGCTTCAGAGGCCTGTATTTTTCTTTCTGTGCTGTTTCTTGGTAGGTTTCCCTGTGTCCAGTTAGCTCAGCTTGTCGGGGAGAGTCCCAGGGGCACGGGTCCAGAACTGTATCCGGGCCAGTGCACTTCCCTTTGTTCCATGGTCACGAACCCCCGCTGCAGCTCAGGAAGCCCTTTGCAAATGTGATCTACTGGTGGTGGTGGCACCCGGCAAGAGGGTGTGGATGAGCCACTGCAAATCCATCCTCACTGCTGGAAAAGCCCCTCCAAGTGCCCACTGTGCCTTAGTGTGGTGGAATCATGGCACATTCTATTTAATTTCCTATTAAGTGACGATTGAGTCTCTGCCATGGGGACAGCATGAGGCTAGACTGTGGAACACAGGTGCTTGGGATAACTTAGTCATCGTGTTATTTTTGGAATTGCCTTTTATTTGACTGATAGTATCTTTTTTGATTGACTGACACCAAGTCTCTGTCAGATACTGAAACAACCTGCATGTGAAGCCAGATGAGCATAAGATTGTTTATGCTAATTTCCTTTGCATACTTCTACATGATGAATAAACTGGCCCAGGGTTGGATGTTTTTATTTGTAAAGACTATTTTAGGTTTTCTTATTGAATAAGCTAATGTCTTGTTTGCCATTGTTTACGTCCCTTGATTTTTCAGGCTTTAGTTTGCCTTCATCACTTCATGGGCTAAGCATTTATGGAGCGCCTCCTGCATGCCAGGCACTGTGTTAGGCACTGGAGAGAGAATGATGGAGAAGGTGCTCCTCTTGCCTTACGGTGCATTTGCAGAAGCAGGTCCCAGTGCATGTTCCAGCTCGTAGAGTTGTGCACACCGGTCTTGGTCTGAGCAGAAAGGAAGTGGGCACAGCGGACAACAGGGTGCAGGGAGGGAGGTGGACTGGCCAGTCAGTCTCTTTTGGCCAGTTACTGCCTTCTGGGTCTTGTTCCTGATGCCATAAAGCTCTCAGTCTCGTAGGCAAAATGCTAGAACTAAGACTTTCTCTGACCTTGGCAATGTCCCCTCCCTGGGCCTGGCCCTCAGCTGTGAGGTCAGGGGCATTGGAACCAGAGATGGAACCAGGCACCTCCAGCTCAGCGATGCTCCCGGTTCAGAGCTTCCACCAGCCAGCCTCTCGATCTCGG